TAAGCAATATTGCAAAGCGAGGAGTAGTATTCATGAAAAAAAATCAAAACTTACACAATAAATAGAAATAGAAATAATATTTGTTATTTTTTTATTTGTTGTTCTAATTTTTCGATTCACTAACTCCAGATGCCGATTATAAAACCAATTAAGATTTTCTCAACACAGTTTGAGTTAGTTATAATTTTCATTTGATATTAATAATCGTTTTACATAACATATAATACAGTATGGTCGCTTAGAAAAAAAACTCAATACTTAATGAAATATAAGAGAAAAAAAGTTATGCCATTGTTAGTAAGTCTTATAATTGAAGTAAAATTATAAAAATGTTTTTCTTAAATAAAGAATGTAATCAATATATAAGGAAAAAAATTGTTATTTATTTCGTATTTATTTGAATTTTAAAAAAATAAAAAAATACCTGCTAAGCACATGAAATTGAAATGTATTGTATAGTATAATATTAAGTTATAAATAGAAGGAAAATACGTGGTTCACGATTTCCATTGAATACAAATTACAAAACGTTTTAATTATGCATACATTGTAAATGCTAATTCTACATTTTTCCACGTGTAAGAAGTTTGGTTCTGTTAAACTACACCTTTTTCTTTAATAATCATAAATTTCAAACAATGAACAAATCTACTTAATTACAACATGATTCGTTTACTTATTAATTTTTATTTTACAGTATTATCAAGAACTACTGACAAGTAACACAATATCAGAAATTATTAATTTTGCTTTCTGCTGAATATTTATTTAATAATTAACCAAACAAAAAGTCTGGATTAGATTTGGAAATGAAAGTCAAAGATTAGATGTTAATTTGAATTGTATTCCTTCGTGTTATACAATACAATAATTACTATTAAGAATTGCATTAATTATTTTTTTTTTAAATAACGATAATATTGACTTAATTTTAAGGGTCATTTTCATAAGATTACAAATATGCTCTAAAATCGTATATTAGAAAACTTAATTTGACGTTTATAAGTAAAAAAAATCAAATAAACCTACCAAATTTAAAGGATGTAAATATTTACATACACTTTTTTTTTATTTACATATATTTTTTTGTTTTATTATGTTCAAGAGGTATAACTGAAAACGTATAAATAATTATAATGAGAGTTATCAATTAAGAAAAAATAATTTTAATTATTACACTAGCTTAATACTTTTTCACTAATTACCAAAAAAAATAATCAAATAAGTTTTTTTTTTTACAATGTTTAAATTTAATAAAATCACTGTAACAATTAATTACATCTAACCAAGTAACTTCATAATATGTCAATTATAAAAAAATATGATTAAAATCACCACAATAACTATCTACCTTTTTTTTTTTTTTTTGAAGATTAATGAATTATTCAATACACAAAGACTTAAAAAAATAAAATACATTTTTTTTCTTATTTTTTTTGAACATATGAACAATGTTGATAGGGTAACTTATTTTTTCATTTTTTTTATGCAAAATTGCAATGTTCTATTTGCATGCAAACCATTTGTTACTGTTATTTCAGGAGATTAATTAAATTAATAGTAATAATGGTAAGATAGAAAACAGTTTAAATCAATTCTACAAGTAGTAAGAACTTGATATTCTACTCCATATAGTAGTAGTAAATCAGTGTATTATTTGCAACGATGATATTGCTTTCAGTGATGGAAATTCAAAAACCCGGATTTTCACCAAACATTTTTCAATTTTTGTAAATATTATAAAAACTTTTTGTGTATAAAAACTATTGATAATTATGCATTTAAATCGGCTAAAAGGCCGATTTTTGATTTAGAAATTAGAAAATAGTTGCGATTTATTAGAAGAAAAAAAAAATGCTTATACATCGACCTCCCGTTTTAACCTTTATTTGTTAGGAAATTGACGCTTTCCGTTCCCCTTAAGAATAATGTATGTTTAGTAACCAGTATTGAACAACTATTTTTAAAGTTACCTATAAGAGTTAAAATGTTAGGATAGGAGGGCAGATAAAAATAATTATATTATTAGTATTAGCGTATGGCATATTTTGCCCTATTCGATCTTAGTTCGGTCGCCAGATGGTGCATGACATTTCTGTAATGCAGTAGAAGAGGAGGATGGCGGCTCCTTTTAACACACTGCCTTAACCACTCGGCCACTCCTCCCCCTTAAAATAATACTACACAACACCTTTCCTCCTGTCCTAAACTTGAAATTCTGATAACTTTAAAATTAACTATCAAAAACTAACTATTAAAAATTTAAACTTTATGTTATTAAACCCTATACGATAATGAGTGGTTCACGATAAAATGATCACCCTGTATACCTAATTAGGTGGATATTCAGGTAGTTATATCAGCCGTATTTGTGAGACTTTTTTTGTAACGCTATATTCAATTTTTTGGTTGATTCACTCGTTTACTCGATTTATTTAACATAGCCTAAAAACAATATCGTGCTTTTAGAGTTTTAGCCTTAGCTCGAAATCTCACGAAATTGTATTTCTTTAAATATTATACTTAATTCCAACACCATCTAACGCCAAACACGGTCTGGTAAGTACTTACGTTTCGCCAAACAAGTCGGTTAGCATGGCCAGCCCGATGGTCTGATGTAGACCAGAGTTCTTCCGGAGGACGCAGCCCCTGTCGACCGGTACCGGATATCCGACGACCGCCACCCCTAATTGACCGCACGCCACCAACCACGTCCATAAGGGTAGTATCAACAGCATACTAATGTGAACGCAGAACTTTCGAAGGGGTGGAAAAAGCTACTCGCGTAGGACACGCTTAACCCGCAACGTCGGTGGTACGCGGTCAAAACGTTGCAAGTGTAATAAACCTGATTAGGTATTTTATATAACACCAGCTTAAACGGAACCAACGGTTTGGCGGTAGGGATTTCGATAAAAATCCAGTTCGACGGCTAAAAATGTATAAAAATATAAAAACACATCCTACTCTTTGCGACGGAGATACCGTTTATAATGTACTTACAGGCAACAATCGACCGTTTGTTGATATAATCGTAATAATATGGGTTTTTTTTATAGCTATACTACAGGACAGTGGAAATCGGTGCATACTACACTAGCGTCCGAGATTATTATCAGTAGGTGAGTTTTTTTTGGGACGCTTGTACTATGTAGCCGTTGAAATTAGCCCCAATTGAAGGTCAAAAATCATGAACTAAGATAATATTATAATATCTTAGTTCATGTCAAAAATTGAAAGGGGAAATGATACACAGCGATAACGCCGTCGTTCAGAGACCTGCAGCCATTTAACAACACAACATTATTGACCATTGAACGCCAATGCATCACTTAATTATTTATTAAAAATGCTTTAAAAAAAAAAAAAAAAATACCAAGTCCACATACGTTCAAATTATACTTCAAGTACTATCTTATCAGCTTATTATTCTCCGGCTGAATTATTTTATCTATATTAAAAATTGTAATTAATCGAATAATTTAATCTAAAAGGGGAGGAGGGCAAAGACGAAATTTACCTATTTTTTAATAGTAAATTTTCACACTCAATAATTTAGTGAACAACTATTGTGAAATAAATCAACAAAACACATAGAATTTTTCGGATTTTTCTTTTGTGGCAATTTTATAAGTTGACTTGACAGAAAATTTGAATTGACATTAGTAAAAATAATTATTATACACTTAAAATATAACTACTATGTACTATTTAAAAAAATCTAGAACTAGTTTTAAAACCAACGTACCTAGTACTTGAAATAAATCAAGCCTTGATATACAATAATTATATAATTAATGAAACTATTAACAATCTTATAATATTTAACCAAACGAATCATCTAGAAAAAGGCAAAAAAGAAAAAAAGAACAATGGCGGATTTCAAAATCAACCTATTAAAAGTTTGGAAGTTAATCTTCTAAGTTATACATAACTTTTTTAATATAGTTTAGTTTATGATATTTTTATATGGTTATATATTTCAACTTGTCCTATTGACAAGTTATAGTCCTTGTGACTATAAATAAAATATTGAATACTTTTTTTAACAGATCAACTTCTTTTACATAACTATGTCGTGTCCGAAATTATTAATGTCATAATATGTTATTATATTTACATAACGCCAAATATTCTAACCTTCTAAGTGCTTCTAAAGCTATATTGGTTGATTTATCCAAAAAATTAACACACTATTGTTTCTTAATTTGCATTAATATCGTACAATTTGCAAATTCTCATTACTTTCAAAGTAATTCTATAGTTTTTTTTTTATAGTAGAATACAATTACAATAGTCTAACCTGTTGTGGGCATATTATAGATTTAGGTAAATTATTTACACAGCAAAATAAATGTTTGACACATACATCACAAAATCGTGTTTACCGAACCGGTTTCAACATTTTTTTTGACATCTTATCTATGGAGGCTATGCCTTAAAAATGTTATGAAGAATTCGAATATTTTTTTCAAAACTTAAATTGGTGTATTCTTAGGAACAACACGATGGAAGAATAATGAGTAGTTTTCGACCGAAAACAACAAGCCGGTGTAGAAGCCCCTTAAAATTATTTATTTACCCTCAAATTAATCAGCATATTAAAAATTGGCTAATAGATCAAATATTGCCTATCCATTGCTCCTTAATACATAGCGTTTTCCGTACCTCTTAAAAAAACAACATTTTCGACCAATAAACGCCCTTTGCATCACTAAATAAAAAAAATATTTGTTGAAGTTGCTTAAAAAAAGTAAAATATTTCATTGACCACCTTATGAATTTCTTACCTTCTAGACGTAGTGAATTATTTTGCAAATTCTTATTACTTTTAAATAATTCTTAAGGTTTGTTTTTATAGTAGACCACAAAATACAATAATGTAACCTGTTGTGAGCATATTAAATATTTGTGTAAATTATTTACACTTTTGCCAGCAAAATAAACGTTTCCAATTGCAGTAACAATGCTCGGTTTGAAAATTGTATAATATTGTACTTTATTTCTAAAACAGTATTTGAAAAATTCTATTACAAACGATTTGGGCACCCGTCGACGATACGGTCTCGATTCGGGATTTACATATAAATGTTAATAATAAAAAAACATTGACCGTATTACAAATATATGACACGTATAGTTTTCGTTAAAAATTATTATAAAATTATACAAAAAATAATATTATAATAAACCACTTAATAGTTAAAAATGTTGCGTTTGGAAAAAATATTATTATACAGTTAAAAAAAAAAATAGATAAATATTATTGTAGACGTTTCGGATTGTTTACCGTAGCTCTTTGTAACACATAAAGCAAATATAGAAAAGAAACAAATTTTTTATATATGTATAAAAAAGCACCAATAACGCGATATTATTGCAACGAGCGTTTATCGTAACATCATAGAATTATTTGCAAAATTTCATTAATACCATTATCATGTAACTATTACATACTACATACATATTTATAAATATATTTATAATTTTTATATAAAACAATTCTTATTAATATCAACACAAAAATACAGTCTTTTAGTAACATATTATCATCCGGAAACAATAAATGAGTGTGCGACGGCCTAGCGCCGCTTTCAACCATTGTCTAAGTACGGCGTTACAACCGAAACAAAAAAAAAAAAAAAAGTTTATATACTAGTTTTGACACGATTATATCGACCGGTCGAGGTTTCAAACAAATATTATAATAACTTAGTATAAGCGTGTATCGTTATCACCACTACAATAAAAGCTCTTGAAATAATAATAATAATAGAATAATAAGAACAATTCGGTTGTGAACAAAAAAAAAACTTAATAATAATATCTAATGAAGCAACAACACTTGAATAACGTGTATAAGTCGAAACTACCTATAATATTATAACGTCGCTTAATACTTAACACCACAAATTAACTCAATTTCCCCCGCACAAACTGAAACACAGCGTGACCAATGTTATTTGGTCAACAAATGAGATATGAGGTGTTGCATCTTAAGCAACGATATTACATGTAACAGTAACAATTGTACTCATATTAAAATATACCGTATAACAGCGTGTGTTTAGTTAGTAAATTTACTATGATATTATTATGTACATCATACTTATTAAACAGTTACTATGTATACAACAAATCAATATTATTAAGTTGGTATTTTGTAAAGCGAGAGGGAAGTATACGAGGAGAGACGTCCTTTTTAAATTGTGACTCTGGACAGCACCGTTTTCTCTGATCTCGGCGGAGGCGGTGGAGGAGGCCTCTTTTTGAGCATTGCACCCGTCGTGACCGGGGCCCGTGGAGGTGACGGCGTGGTTTTGGGATAAATGTTCTCGTACAGGTTGTTGGGTCCGTAGTGTTCGGCCACCCAATTGCTGACGTTGGCCTCCCGGCTGTACTGCTGCTGCTGTTGGCCGTTAAGATCCCGGAACCCGAGCACCTCGTGAGGAGTGGTCATCGTGTCGGACTTGCACTTTTGGGCTACTTGCCATTTTTTGCACACCACGCGGTGCAAGTCGGCCAGGAAGGCCGTGCTGGGCGGCGACAACAGTTTTGGTGGCGGCGGCGGCACGTCCATGATGTCCTGGTCGTTGGGTTCGTCATCGTCCACTAACAGCTCGGGCGGCGGCGGGGGCAGCGATTCTAGGCTGGGCGTCCGGTCGGCAAACTTGACTGTCTTGACGGGTTTCTGGCCGGTCTTCATGGCGGACGACGCGGAACAGATGGACGAAAGTGAAGAATTGTTGACGGCGGCCGACAGTTGGTTGCCGCCTGTGTGGTGTTGGCCGGACGGGGCGGCCGCGGTGGTGTTGGCCGCGTCTAGGGAGCAGGTCAATTGCCTGGTGGTAGCGGTCAAGGGCAGCTTGGGCGGTTTGCGTTTTATGGTGCCGCACGGCGGGTAATCCGACTCGAACGCCACGTCGCACCCGGACGACCCGGAATCGGACAGCCCGCTCTCGATGTCCTCCAAGTCGGCGGTGTTGCGCATCATGGAGTGGCCGCCGGACAGTGCAGACTCATAGTTGTCCAACAGCTGTTGGCCGTATTTGACGATCCGGATAGCCGACATCCACCGCTGCAACGTGGGCTCGTCCTCGGCGCACACGTACTTGATGTACTTGGTCGACTTGGGCTGTTGCAAGCACGGGTGCTTGATGGCGAAGCAGTGTTCGGTCGGCGCCTTGTACTTCTTCTTCCAGCCCACGCCGTAGTACACTTGGTTCACGTCGAACGTGGCCAGGCAGATGAGATCTTTGGGCAGCCGCGACACCTTGTCCTTGTAATAGTACAGCCCCGAAGCCCTGAGCACGCTGTAGTACTTCTTCCAGCCTTTTCTCGAGTCTGTCTTGATATACAACGGTCCTTCGACGCTGGGCAAACCGCCGTTGCAGAAGTATTCCTAAATAGAAAACAACAATTTTTATTTGTTATAAATATTTGTTTCTCTTGCAGGAAAAACATGAACAAGTTTTATGGCACCCACACACTTCTAATCCTGACCGAACGACTCAATGAAATCGAGTAAACATTTCGATATTGCTGAAAACGCAAATTTTGAAAACTCATCTCAGCCGTAAAACACGTTCACGTTAGAAAAAAACCCAAAAGAGTTAACGAGTAAGTTATTATAGCCTTTGATAATTACTTGAGCAAAGTTGGCGCCGGCGTGATTGGACGACTGTTGTCGGTCGGCCGTGTTGAACAGCGAAGGGTTTTCGAATATCAAAGTCCTCTCCGGCCTCTCCACGAACAACAGACGGTTTTTCGAATCTCTGGTCCACAACATCAAGTTGTCGACGAGCAACTCGTGTTCTTCGTAGACGCGTTCTGAACGGAAAAAAAATATAATATTGTTAAAAAAAAAATCCGTTAACACACAAACACGTGTATTGATCGAGATGGTTATTTTTTTGCGAAATACTAACCCATGTGAAGGTCGGGCAGATGTTCGACGAGCCCCCAGCGCGGTCCCAGGTTTATGTGGTGTTTGTCGGCCAACAGACGCATCACATAACTGCAGCGCATGCCCTCGTCGACCAACAGCGATTTGGCACCGCCGTCGTCGTTGAACACTTTTATGAACAGCTTCTTCACGCTGGCCTCTTTCATCTTTTGCAGGGCCAGCCGAATTTTCTCGGCTTTCGAGTTCTCCTGTAAACACCGCAAACGACAACCGTTAGTAATCGACGCCGGTCGTTGCTGCTGCGGGTCGACCGCTACTCTTACCTTGTTGCCCGAGTGATTGGTGGTGCCGCTCGACGCCGAACTCTCGCTGCTCGACAACAGGGACACGCAGTCGGAAAACGCGGAATCGTTGTCCGGGCTGTCGGTTCTGACCACTGTGAAAACAGAAGAAAAAAAAATTAGTGTCATTTTCAGCTTAGGCTAGAAATATCAAAAAGCATAATGTTTTGTAGGTTTTTCTAAATTAATCGAGTAAATAATAAAACAAGTAACTGACTCGGTCATATCCCCCCCCCCCCCAATGAAGAATCCTGAGAACGCCACTGTAACTGAGTAAATAAACGAGTAAAGGAGTTAATAAATCGAGTAATTTTCCTAATGTTCCTGGTTTACCCCTAGCCTAAAACCGCAATATCGTGTTAAAATGGGGGCAGGTTTAATAAAGACGTTTCTATGGTTATTTCTATTGTAATCTATATATTAATATAATAACAATGTACTTCGACTGTACTGACTGTAATTCAATAATTGGTAATTACCTAACCTAACCAAAGGACGATTAGCGTCCGGATTCCAGTGGAAAGTCGAGACAAGAGATGTGGTATCTAAACAATGGCGTGTTTACAAGAATAAAGATTAACTTGAAAATTTACTTGAAAAAAAAACACAACCGTTTAGTAGAGAGGCCTGGAAATGCCTAATTTTTTTTACAAGTCTTCTCACTATAATATGGAGAACAATCAAATTGTTCATGAATATATTATCATAACATAGCATAAATTATATTGTATATTTAAGTCTGTCTCGAAACGACACCGCTGGGAACGATTTGGTGGTATGATCGAATCCAAGTGTGAATCTCGCCTTTGGCGCAAACCCAACGAAGGTCAGGTACGACGACGCTTAATTTTGCTGAACTTGGTAAGCAACAACAATAAAACAGATTCACTGTCGTTTGGTCCTAAGCCAAAAACAGATGCACGCCGTTTGTTGAGGCTGTGTCGTTTTTGGCCAGGTGCCCTTCTGTGTATTGACCCTTTCCAGACGGACCGTCGCGACACCGGCATTGTGTAAATGTATTGAGATTATAATAGTAATGCAGGGGTGGATATTGTTACATACACCCTCAAAAAATAAGAATAAACGGTTTTGCGGGCACATTCGTCGAGTGGAATAACAATACAGGGACCGGGCTGGGATTTAGTATGACGGTTATACTATACGCTATTATATTGAGATAAACTGACCTGTTCCCGGTTGATTTGAATTCGACAGCATCCTGTTTATTGAATTGGCATCTGAGGGGGGAAAATATACATTTATACAAAGCGGTAATTTATGTAATAATGAAAAAATAAATTGTAACAATAATTACCAATAATTTTTTCGGATTCCATTAGACTGGCCGTGCTCTGGTATTGCGATTCTAAAGCGCACAGTTCACCCAACACGGCGTCCAGGTCGACGTCTTGTGTATCTAAAACACGTTATTATTATTATATTTATTCCGTCTCACAAGTCCGGACATTATAATACTATACCTTCTAAGTTGGCCATGGAGAACCGATAAGAGTCCATGCGCTGCCCGGCAATGTCCGTAGGGGTAGGCGGCGTTTTCAGCGGACCATCGTCGACGGGTTTCGACGGGCTCTTACTGTCCAATCCCTGTGGAAGACACACAATAAATTATTATACTATTACAAACAAGTCGAATAAAACACACGATTGGGATGAGGTCGGGGGATAAGGCAATATTGATTGAACCTATTTGGTCTGGAAACTGCGTCGTTTTCCCCGTCCGGTTGATAGTCAATTAAATATTCGGCCGTCTTAATCCATTAAAGACAATTGTCGGAACGCGCCTAGCCGAACGCCGATTGGGTTAACGATCAGAGGCGACTAGAACACGGTTGGAAACGACTTTTTAAATATTTATTATAGAGTTGTGGCAAAAAAAAAACCCATAATAATAACAAGAAACTGCCAACGCCGAACGTATGTACGTGTAGATTTGTATAGTCGAACCGACGCGACATTGTTTTAGTAAAATAATAATAACACACGCGAGCGTATTATAGTTTCAATTAAAAAATGTAAAAAAAAAAAAATACCAAACAATGATCTCGCGTCGTTAGATCAACAACGGCCGGTCTTATAATGTGTCTTATACGGAGGGCCTTGTCGCACAGTCGCTTCTAACAAACGAGCAATAACAATAATAATAATATACAGTCTGCCCATTGTTCTAGTGCGTGTAATGAGTCCAACACGGTGAATTATAAAAGAGAAGAGACGATATTTTATTAAACCGCCCAATTCGGTTGATTACTTTTTCGAATCCTTCCAGATAGACTGTAAAATAACGACGAATACGGTAGAGTACAAGGCGCACACTGCCACCGAACCGTATTTAAATATACACATAAAATACACTGTTTGAGTAAAAATAGACAGCGACCGCCCCTCGTTGTTGTTTCAGGGAAACCGATCCATATCCGGTCGTTCCATCAAACGTGGTTCTGGTCCCGAGACGAGTAATAATTGACGTTATCGGATCGACCACACGTTTACCGTTTAATTATTATTATAATATCAAAAGGGCCAGACCACAGTAACTATATATATATAAGTCAAGACAATTAGCCGCGTTTGTACTTCCACGGTAATCGTAGACACCGAAATCAACAACAAATATTATACTTTTGTGTCGACGCCAAACAAATTCTGATGGTTACATTCACTAGAATTTGCCTGACAACAACTGAAATTTTGACCACCTGTTTATTTGGCGTCGACATTATAAACTAAAATTTACTCAACTAACATAACTGCTTTCTAATTATCGAAAATTGTACCCCGGAGTATCTAGGATTAAGATGTAAGTCAAAAGATCAAAGCATCTAATAAATTAGATCTCCGAACCGGAACCATTTAAAATTTGTACATTTGAACCTTGGACATCTATATGTATAGCCATTTATAATTCGAATCGAATGTTTTTGTTTTAAGTTATATATTATGTTCTATGCACTGTATGCTAAAAATTCGAAAGTTTATAATTTCATGTATATTTATTTATATAGATTTACGGGTAAGTACACGGGTACACTACACGGATACACGGATAGTCATGCGTTTTAGCTACACGTGAAACAACGTGACCTGTTCTTGTCGGTCACAAACTTCAATGTGCAATAACTTTGTCATTTTTTCAGCTACAAAGGCGTACACTCGATCTCGAAATGTCTCGAAAATCAACCAAGATTCAGAAAGTGAAATAGTTTTGGAACTTACGGACGCGATAAACGATTGAGTTCGCCTCAAGGCCGACCGGTGAACGTCCACGACGACCCTTTGGCCGTTGGGGCGGCTGACCGTCTGTTGTTCGTGGGGCAGAGGCATCCTGGTCCTCTGGCACGACTTGGCGACGAGTTCGGCCGCGTTTTTCCTGGTCGCCGAGAAGCTGGCCGCCCGTCTGACGGCCACGTTGTAACAGGGCGGGGGCGGTCTTTCGGCACACCTGCGCCTGTACGGTTCGGGCGACTCCACGCCGGAGAAGCTGACGGTTCTCTTGGGCGGCGCCCGACGTCTCATCGAGCTGTTGGCGCTCGACAACCGCGTCTTGAGTATGGGCTTGTATCCGAAAGTCAAATTGCCGTAGATGTGATAGTCTTCCGGGCAGTCTTGGTCGGTCGACCGGTCGGTGACGGCCCTGGTCCTGTTGCCGGACAAGGACCGCACCTTGAACCCGTAACTGCTGTCTTCGTCGCTGTCGCTGTACGGACCACCACCGCCGCCGCCGCCGGTCTTGCCGCACGCGTACCGGGACTTGCACGAGAACATGATGATGATAATGATGGCACTATAAACGCACTCATATAATAAATGTCAATACAGAAAAACACAAGAGGCGGCGAGTCGATCACCACGTTGGCACGGTACCGCGACTCGATCGGAACTGATCCGGGTTTTTCGGCCATAGGTAGACCTCGATCGGCGTGACGGGTGTCCCGGAGCAGCTGCTGCCGCGACCGCCAGGTGCAATCTCGGAGAAGACTGTGCCTAACACATGTCTCTCTCTCTTATTCGGTTAGGTTAGGTACCTATGTGTGTATGTCCGTAGAAGAGCGGCGGCAGCAGATGTTCGAGCTATTCAATCTGGAAACTCGTTTTTTTTTTTTGGTCGGTGTACATTACACTTATACCGTGTTTTTCTGTCCATTATTATTTCTGCCCTTTTGGCCGAACACGCTGATTTCGATCAACAAATCTCCGGATTGCTTTTTTTTTTTGTTTTTTGCGGCCACCATATGGCCAGACGGTTATGTCTTATATAAAACCTATACCTTATAAACGTTGTAAGTTCATGCGCAAGGCGCCACGTAGTTGTGACCGCTCCGGCCCCCGCACACACGACAATGTGTGTGTGTATATGTAATGAGCTCTTCGAACAAGCAAACCAGTTTAAAAATACAATTTATTTAAAAAAAAACACCGAGCCATTGTACACACAACACCGTGTGTTTATATTAGGTATAAGACAAGCAGGAGGAGGTGCAACACTATACGAAGCGAATCGCACACGCGACACCGATGAGCTCCGGCAAGACCAATCTGGTATCGTCGTTCCCGCGGCCTTGGGCTATATGCATGTTAACACCGCCGTCGTAGATCTTGTGATTGTTTCTTATACCACTGTGACGACTCCCGTGTAAGAGCAGTGGCTCTTGATTGACGCTTGGATCGCGTTCAAACCCTTTGGCGAGTGCGCAAAGTCATTTCGTCGGCTATTAGACACGACCCGTAAGATCGCCGTCCTGTCAAAAGCTATTTACATAATACCGTTACACCTCGAAACTGTTGAAAACCTCGCCGGAGATTCACGTGCGTCTCGGTTAGCGTCGAGCTGGCGTGTGATTAAGAGTAATTTTCAGCTGGAAAATCTCCAGCAAGCATTTGGTAGTACTGCCAAAAATTCGACACGAACAAAGGCCTAGAGTGGTCGGGGATAAGTCCAACCACCGTTCTTGACGAATCTGAACACGCTCAATTTACAAGAACAACTCTGAACGGTTTTGTGGCCTTAGTTTTCCCACTGGATTATGTGCTTTCGGATCCGGACGCAGCGCTGTATTCTAATAAGTAATAACACTAAACCGATGAATCTCCGGTTAGCAGATTAAGAAGACAAGTACTTTCTATATGGATTGAAATCCCGTGACGACCGTGTACACACGGTTAATTCGTGCGTTAACCGTTTTACGACCGTTCTCGGTGGGTTTCTTGAAGATCGCTCGAGTACCACCACAACACAGCGTTATACTCGTATACCGCCCGCCGCAGTTGTTCCCATTGTGTTGGATCACAATCGTGAATCGCGCGGAATCGTTGCACTTAAGAGGGACACGCCGGCTTCTTAATAATAATAATATAAATTGTGGGTCGATTCGAAGCGTCTACGCGCGCGTCTATAATAATATATTGTTATTCTGGTGGTCGTTGCTGTTGTTGTCCTACTCTGAATTTATGTGTTTTCGGCGACAGAGTTTACTTCACGCTGTGAACTATTATTTTGCCCGCCCCAATGCATGCTTATCGGTAAGGTTCTATACACCGTCCCATAAAATATATCTGCCGCTCTTCTTCTGAACTCTAAGGCGCAACTAGTGTTAGCAACTGTGGTAGTTGTTTGACTAGCAGCACCGGCGGCCGTGATTATTTTAAAATCATGCACAGTTAACTCGTCTGAATTGAGTGATTATATACATTTTTGGAGGGCGGGGGAAAAATAATGACTGAAATGATTTGTGGCCAGACTCGGTTAAAAACGATTTTTTTTTGGGTGTTATACGACACGTAGAATATTATTTATATATTATATAATACGGTCTGGGCTGACGACAACACCTGGCCAGGTGACGGTATTGCTGCTGATGGTGCTGCCGAAAGATGCCTATGCCACCTGCCAGACACGTGCAGTGCACACGTCGGGCAGCTGCTTTTTTCTAATAAGGGCGCATGCCATCTGTTGATGGGTGAGCAACAACCTACGGGTTCAGACCTATGTATTACCTATATAATGCTGCCAAAGACAGGCGCGCGTCCGAAATCCCGGAACGACTTGTTGAACTCGATATAACATAATAAGATCACAGCGAACATAATAATAATACAAGAAGAAGAAGACCGAAGAACACAATACTTACACATATCACAACGACAACAAACCAAGAGTGACTCGGCCGTATTGTTGTTTGTGTTTGGCCACTATCCGGTTGTTTCCGCAGGATATAGGTCACACGTTTTATGATAATACAATACCTATATAGGTATCTACTTTTTTTATTGCCGGCTTAACGGCCACCCATTAAGTCGCGTGGAAAATAATAACGACAATATCCGATAGCGTTACTCGAGCCGACTTACTCGGAGGGGTTGCGACGTCACGCCCAGCTCGTAAAACTCAATTACTAAAGTAATACACTGTAAAAAAAAACACTGTAAGTCACAGCTCGGCTTGGTAATCGAGCCGTAAAAAATATATTAAAACGTTCCAAAGAAAGTCGACCCTGCTGAACAGAGTGTATCCCTGCACATGGTATCCCGCTAGAGTTTTTTCCATGTACACTAAACGAGGCATGTTATAATTCACATTAATTATTATTACCGACTTCCGTCGTTCGATCGGCGTCTATCGTTTGACCTAATTCGATTTCAGGCCTCCAACAGAGATAGAATTGTGCAAATTTATATTCGAATAATTATTTCACAATTTACTCGAATAACACGTTATTCGAATAACTTTTACTTGAATAATGTGTTATCTGGTCGATTATTTGGATAACGTTTTATTCGAATCACATGCACGACTCTGAATAGAGGTACTCTGTAGTCATAGTTAATAGACGAGCGGATGATAGAACGTTCCCCGCCCCCCTTCTTAACTGCGGAAGTCCAATCGGTCGCCGTTTTTGTGTATAGCACTGTTCTATGTGTACATTTTAAAATCTAAGATTCTGATTGCCAATTGTCTTGTTTTTATGGTAACGCGGGACGAGTGGGTGGTAAGAATATGTGGCGTGACCGATCGGGTAAAGCAAAATACATATTTTGCGTTACTCGATTTACCGAGGCGGTTATAAAATAATAATATAATAAATTATGTTACCGAAGCCAACGAGTCCAATTCGCCGAGCCAAACGTCTAACAACCGTTCGGGGTCGTCTTCTTCGTCGGATTCACCGGCGCCACCGCTGTAGTAGGCAGAGTCCAGCCGAGGACAGTCGACGTCGCAATTGCCGCCCTCATGTGGTCTCATCACAGCTGTAAACACAATGTAAACACCTACAATAAGTAACAATATCGTTTATGATAACAACAAAGGGGGATTTGAAACGGTCATCGGCCGTTGGCAACAGGTCTCGTATCGTATGCAAATTTGAATTAGAAAGGATTTCTAGTAGCTACCACATGAGGGGGCGATGGTACTTGACTTTATGACTTCCAAAGCGGAGTAAGAGCAAGAGACAAAGCCCACATTGGCCCCCCCCCCAAAAAAAAAATTAATGTTATCGCGAAGCTAATCATAATGTAATAGTATAATATATTGTATGTCATGTGTGCTGATGTCGCCAATCTCGGTGCTCCTAGCCGGAGCCTCCCTCTATCGATTATTCGCGCCTAAACAATTCACTTCCGACCTTCGATTTTTTTTTAATTAATCAGTCGCTATTTGTTTATTTTGTAAGTGTGTAATTAAACCCGACACTCGATGGTTTTAGCCAAACCGAGGTTCGGCAGTACTCGACAATATCGAAGATATTATTATTTTATGACTAATTACATTACTATAGTCGTCTAAGCAAAAATTGTTTTTCAGTGAATCATCGGGACAATACAACAAACAAAAAAATCTAAAAAAATTGTCCAACAATGAAAAACTGGCGTGTCCTTGGTATCGATGGATTTTCTTTCAGACCACCGGATTTCTTTTCACAATAAAAATAATTATATTTTTATATAATAAATGTAATAATACAACAAATATGTGGTCGAATGAATAGGTGGCAAGCGACTGCGGTATGCTGACCATGGAGTGGGACGAATATTGAATTAAACAGCAGCTAACCTGGCGATGCGATAGCGTGTAGGATAGACAGCGATTTGAACGAAATAGAAATGGAAAAAAATAATATGATCCTAATTCATTATTAAAATCAACGTCAAGTCGAGTTTCTTGATAAAATAGTTGAATTCGTAACCAGAAAAGGTAGGTAGGCCTTACACAAGCGAGCCAACAATGAAACGCGTGGCATTTTTAGAAAGAAGGATTTGAATAAAGGCAATTTGGATGGGAAAAGGTTGGCAGGGCAAAAGAGCAAATTGGCATTATTTTTTCCTAACTTTGAACCGTTTTATTGTTGTGGTTGCCATCATAAGCCTCGTTTACATTGTGCACATACGACGAGTATACCTATAACCAATGTTAGGTGAGATAATACTTTACAAATGCTTTCGGTCTTATACTCTATCAGGTCAGGTCGGGCCAGGTAACAGTTATTCGAACCCTCGTCAATTTTAAGATAGGCTAATAATTGTTGGGTACCAAAATGTTAAAGCTGTAATTTTATAGGCCAAATACATGGCATGAGGATAACCTATTTTATATAGATGACACGGTGTAAACTATTTATAATAAAATAATTATAAATCAATTTATCAACTCGAATAATTATCTAGCTTAAATTATTTATTTAGAAATTAAATGATCACAAACATATTGTATAATTTCCAAGCTTAAATAAACGAATAATTACTCAAATAATTTCCAAACACAATTTAACATAATTATTTGAATAATTTTCAACACAAGTAATCATGTTACTCGAGTAAATAACAGTTTTGATCGAATAATGACCAACTCTAAATTTATCTCATACATGAAACGCTAAAAATGTATAATACGATTTTATAACGCAGTTATAATACTAATATAATGCAGTTAGATGCCCCTCCCCTCATAATTGCATTGTGTCTATTATAACAGGAATTACTTGTGATAAAAGCAAAAACCATCCAAATAAAAAAATAGCCAGCGCAGTGAAAAAATAGCTTAGTGTGGTTGGATTAAAAAAAAGTTTGACTACAGATTGAGAAAAATGTACATATTATAGCACCACTTTTTTTTTAATAATTTTTTTTTTATAGCACCACTAAATTTATACATCAATTAAAGTATACGTTTTTACCTCCTCAGGAGGAAATGGTATTTTTCGTGTTTGCTGCGTTTCTTTCCAAAACATACACGGTTTATAAGGCGCTATCTAGTTGTTTGGAACCGAGATGACGTTACCTTAGATATTATGATGAGCACAACATGATCGCACACCTGCAGCCCGTGCTGTCATCGTTATGGACCATATTTTACTGTAACCACCAGGTACCCGCCCCCAAGGCCGGAATCAAACCGTGGCCACGCGTTTCCGGCACGTGGGCGCTAAGCCGGTCGAACGACTCCAACAAGGTGACGAATTCAGTTAAAATCCACCACCTCACTTGGGCCGCGGGTCTAATTACAGTCGGTACATAACAATATTATATTATTATGAATCGAACAATATACCGTTCAATGGGCACAAGACGGCGCGATTATTCCACCGTAAAAAAGTCACCACATAACAATTAGGTACACTAATTTATCAACTATCCGTGACGCTTAGGCTACATTATTGTTTACCAGGTCAATACACTGTTACGACGGTGGTCCCATTTGGTTGTATCATCAAAACCGGACCATTAATCGTTTATATTTACACACAATAGGGTAAAATTTGGGGCAGAGCCAAAAATCGTGAAAAGAACATTGTAACAACAAGCTCTAGAGAAAAAGTTTTATAATTGTTAATATTTTAATATTTCTGTAGTTAGCAAATCATACGCAGCAATTTAGAAACATAATACATACATATTTGTTTGAGGTCTTGAACATAATTCATGTGTAATTTTTACATTTATAATACTAGAGAAATATTACTAGAACATTAATTTTGTTATTAATATTTGGTTTCCTGTCGAAAAATGTTAACATTTAATATTATTTTTCAAATAAGATATTATTAAAGTATAATAAATTATTATAGTTGCACGAGATACTACTTCTCAGAAAATATATTATAATTGTATCAAGGTAATGTCTAAAAGACATAACAATTATTTGGTGATTAGTTTGACGCAGACACCCGTATTATTCCAACACAATTAAGAACATATTAATTTTATTAAGCTTATCATAAGGCTTATCATTTTTATAATTTTAACAATGAGGCCATTACATAACGACTTCAAAATATATTTATCATACTGTAACAGATTT